TTAATTAATTGCCTTTAAATGTTAATTCAGAACAGTTTCCCTGAGTGATCTTATGTAGGCAAATCCTCAGTTGCCTTAAGCCACTTGCCGAGCGTGCTCAACTAATAAGGTATTCTTAGTCCTGACCAGGAGCCTTGCACAGGACTGTAATCAGGAATGATTAATTGGAAATAGCTCTTCTAAACCAGGCTGTGCCTGCTGTGCTGTCCTGTGCTGCCCAGCTCTGCCCAGAGCTGACATGGAGCTGCTGGAGTTCATGGAGAAGGGAATTTCCTTCCCAACTCTCTGTGATGTGCTGCTTCCTCAGCCACAAACCACCCTCCCAGTGCTCCCCAGCTCAATGTGGCATGGAGGGTTTCCAGCACAGCGTCTGGATTTGCCAACAGACTCCCCTGGGGAGGAACGGGATGTGGGAGGTCACGGTGGGGATTTATTAGCTCGGCTCAGCCGTGGCCAAGTGCTCTGCCAGACTCTGAGAGCTGGAGCAAACCCCTGCCTCCTGCTTGGGTGTGATGTCTCCAAAAGTGCTGAGGGATCAGCAGCACCACTGAGAGAAACTTTGTGCAGTTTTGCCTGAATCACAGCAAAGAAAAAAGTCACAGAACCATGGAATACCCGAATAATTTGGGTTGGAAAAGACCTTAAAGCTCATCCCATTCCACCCCCTGCCATGAGCAGGGACACCTCCCACTACCCCAGTTGCTCCAAGCCCTGTCCAAACTGGGACATTTGCAGGGATGGGGCAGCCACAGCTTTTCTGTGCCAGGGCATCACCACCCCACACTGGCACAGAGAGCCCTGCTCGGGGTCAGACACGGCCTCGTGTGACAGCAGCATCTGTGACAGCTCTGTCCTTGAGTCCCCTGCTCTTGTGCTTTAGCTAAAATCATCCTGCAGTGTCTGTGTGCTTGTTACGTGCCAGGTTTGACCTCAAGCCAGTGAAATTTTTGGAGGTCTCCTCTTTCTGTGCTTTCAGCACATCCTTGACTATTTTCCTCCTGCATTCCACCCCTGTGGAAGCAGCCTTTGAGCAGTAATTCAGCACAGTGTACCTGCTGCAGCCAAAGGTGGCTGGGAGTTAGCCCAGACCGATGAAATCCACATTATTTGGCTCTGCTGGAGTGGTGGAACCTGCTGTGGGAGACTTTTACTTTCCTGAAGTCAAAGCTTGGGGAACTTGCTCCTAAAGAGAAGCTTGAAATAAATACCCAGTAAAGCCACGGAGGAGACAGTTCACTGCTGGAAATCACATTTCACTTGGTGTCAGCAATTCAGGAGAAAACCATCTGCAGGAAATTATGATGACAATTTCCTCTTGGAGTGTGGAGAAATTACAGCTGTACTCGAGGAGGCAGCCAACAGCCTCCTCTCCCCTGACTTCTACCAATTACCCTGAAAATTTTTAAGTCATTTGGCTGTAGAGATGTCTGTGCCCCACCCAGGAAGGACAGGCTGGGAGAAGTGATATTGTGCAGGGAGAGAACAGCTCAGCATTTGAAGAGTAGATGGTATATATTTGAAATAAAAACTTTTCTCTAAGAACCACAGAACAAAACTCAAGCCAGTTGCAAAAAGCTGCAGGTCTACAATTCTCAATGTGTTTGTGATGGTTTTGGGCCAAAAATGGCCTTGCCTGTTGAAAGCTGATTCATGCACATGTGAACATAACATTCATCAGAGGAAAGAAATAAAAACCTGGCTAGAAATGTTCTCATGGGACACCATTGGCAAGCCAGGTCTTGGTAAGGGATCCCTCCAGGTCCACAGGACAACATTTACATGGGCAGATGGTGATAGGACAAGGGGGAATGATATTAAACTAAAAGAGAAGAGATTAGATTGGTGTTAAGAAGAAATTCTTTACTCTGAGGGTGTTGAAGCGTTGCCACAGGCTTACCAGAGAAGCTGTGGCTGCCCCTGGATCCCTGGAAGTGTCCAAGGTCAGGTTGGATGGGGCTTGGAGCAACCTGGACTAATGGAATGTGTCACTGCCCGTGGCAGGGGATGGAAGTGGATGAGCTTTAAGATTCCTTCCAACCAAAGCCATTCTGGTTCTATGATTTCAGCAAATGGACTGAATACAGCAAATTTCTGAATTCAGAACCTTTTCTCTAAGGTTTCAACCATCAATTTGTTGCCTGAGAAGATCTTTCCCCACCACCAGCTGCCTTAGCAGTTGTCAGCATCTTCCTGCTCATCCCAGCACTGCTGCTGGAGCTGATGGGAGTTTGATTATGATTTAATCCAGGCTTTTAGAGGAGGGAAAAAAGAAAGTTTTGACAGTTCCATATATAGCCCTCTGACTCACCGATTTCATGTGTCAAACACTAAAGACGGGTTAAGAAGAATTAAGTTCTGGATTTATTATAAATAGGCATTAAGTAACATGAATGTATTACATTTGCATGAAAATATGGGCCTGATTCTCCAGCTTACCCCAGAGATTTCGTTTGACATTGATGGGATGCTCCCAGGTGGGAGCTCAGCTCAGAGCCAGCTCTGACCATCCCCTGCAGCCCCCGTGAACTGGACCCAGGGAAACAGGAAAATCGTTGCTGCAATCAGGAAAAGTTTACACGGCTTGCACAGATCAGAATTCATCCCTTAATATAGTACAATGAGTTTTAATTAGCCCCCAGATCTGCTGCTGAAGGAATAATTTCTGCATGTCAATCAGTGCTAAATGCACTTGTTAAATCAGGCAAGATTGGTTAAGTTGAAAATTGCATAGAAAGTCACTTTTCTTCTGTTTCTCCCAGAAACTGGAGACTTTTGGGATTCAAATGTTATGGACAACCTCATTCTGCTCTGAATACTGTTCTGGTGAAAGGTCCATCCAGACAATGAAGTCACCCTCACTGAGAGCAAGTGTGACAGTCAGGCATTGTTTAGGTGAAAAGAGTCCTCTTTAGTCAAATCAGTGCTTCTGCAATGAGGGAGACAGACACAGACTCTACCAAATCAGAGCCCTCCTGAATAGTTTAATTTACTGACTTGTTCATTGCTAAACAATTGAGAATTAGTCCATGGAGAAGAACACAAAAAGGACAGACAATATGGGTTGTATTTTGAGGCTGGACTAGTCCAAACCAAGGAAAAGCAAGATTTTGAATGACATTGTTTCTGGAAAAATAATGCTCACTCCTGCGCCTCTACTTTTATGGGGAACTGGGGCTTTGGCCCTGTTTCTGCTGAAGGTGAAAATAAAGGATATGCCTTATAACACAACTAGGGCCATTGGGACTGAGTGACAACCTCACCTCACCCCTGGAGAGGTTGTTGTTATTATCCCACAGAGCTGCTGATCATGCAGGAACAGCATGAAAAGCTCTGGGAGCTTCCCCCAGCCCTGGTGGGATCCTCAGGCTCCAGTGCCTTCCCAGCATGGCTCTGCCCTCGGTTGTGATTTTTCTTATCAAACACTACATTCTGCTTTCTGCCGTGAATATGATTTCCAGTGAAATGCCTCCTCAGAGCCTGTCTGGCTGGGAATTAGCCTGGAACTTGGTGGCTGGGCTGTTAGCTCCTCAGGGTCTCTGGGATAACGGGGAGGTGCTGATGCTCTGGTTGGGGATTTTGCTCGTGGCTTTGAACTCTCTGCAAAGTGGGACAGGCTCACCTTCAGCACTGCTCTACTCCCCTTCAGCCCACAGCTGAGTAAGCAACTCCAGGGCTACAAAACACAGCCCCTGTGCTCCTGCCCTCCAGGGATCTCAGCTTTTGCACAGACCCTGGGAAGGAGCTTACAGGGAAAGGATTATCATGGCTCTTATGACTCAGTCCACAGCTCCTGTGTGCTTCCCTACACGGAAGGGAGAGGAGTGGGCATGAAGCCTCAGTCTGTCCCCTAATCAGCCTCCTAACAGGTCCCTGTCCCCAGGATCCTTCCCCAGTTTGGCAGCACCAGCCGTTGCTGCTCTGGGTGCCAGCAGCGGTGGCAGTGAGGTGGTGATGGTCTCTTTATGAATAAAACAGATAAAAGCCAGGTTAGAAGGCAAAAAATCTGCATGTGGAGTTGGGATCAAGATGAGGAGGGGGTGGCAGCCCTAATCCCAAAGCACTGCTGGGGATGGTGAACCCCTGGCTGCTGCTGTTGGAGCAGAAGGCTTTGAAGGATAGGTTATGGGTCAGTTCCAAATGAGGGTTCCTCTTTGCTGTGGACACGCAGCCAGGGAGGTGTTGTAGCTTCAGGGCTGGTTTTGGGGCATGGAAACCCCTTTGGTCCATGGAAACCCCTTTGTAATGTCCATGGAATGTGGGCTCCCAGCTGCTCCCTGCTTGCTCTGTCTTGGTGGTCCATGGAGCACCCCCATCACTCCATTGTGGTGATGCTGCCATGGCAACCAGGCCTGCCATGGTTCCATGGAACCTGGGGCACTGCAAGGGTGGCACTGGCACCAGTTCTCTTCTAGGTTCTCCCCTCTCCTGAGCTTCCTGCTGGAAATAGGGGTGGATCTTTGGGAACACCTGATTACCACCTTGGTTCTGTCTCCTGGCTGGAGGGGAGCTGTGGTATCCTGTGTGGGCACATAGGGGGGCCCAAGGGACTCAGTGTGGCTGCTGGGGACCAGCTCTGGGGGTAAGGGGTGCAGGGTCCACTCTAGTGCCCTCCTGGCATCAGTGGGACAGAGGGGCTGAACTCAGGTGTTCTGCTGGAACAGGGTGGGGGGGCCTGGCCTCGCTGGAATTTCTATGGAAACCCAGGTACTGAATGGGGTGGAATAGCTCAAACCATCTGTTCTTCCCCTACTTATAAAACTCGATAATTTCACGATGACATCACCAGAAATGCTCTCCTTTTATTCCTCTTGCAGCCATCTGTGATGGTTTCCTCATGTGCCAAACACGCGAGCGGGTGCTGAGGGATGGGCAGGAGGACACAGCCACTCCATTAGTCCTGTTTCATTTCTTCCCTTGGAAAGCAATCCTGTACCTGCAGAGTTTCACTTGTTCCCTTCCTGAGGCGTCTGCAGAGCGAGCAGCAGAGTTAGACGGGGAAAATGAAGGTAAAAAAGGACAAACTAAAGCTGAACTACACAGGGACTATGGAGGATCTGCTGTGGGGATCTTACCCATGGAAATACACATCCAGCAGTGGGAGCCAGCTTTGCTCCTGCCAGCAAGGTGCTGTGGGGCTGCTTCTGCTGCCCTGCTGTGCCAGGAATGAGGCCCTGGACTGAGATTTGGGTGTTGGGAGAGGCAGAGCTGAGGACAGGGGTAATGGTGGGTCTGACTGCCTTCAGTGCTTCCCTGCTGGGCAGTTTCTCAGTTAGAAGTCACTTTTTGATGGTCGGGGACAGGAGCACTCCTGCTCCACTCCTGGGCAGCCAGCTGGGCTCATCCATGTCCCCAGCACCAGTGGCTCTGGTTCTGACTCACGTGGTCCTCGCTGCTGTGCTGGGTGATAAAAGAGGTGACAACCTGCCATCACCTGCCCTCTTCCCTGTCCTGGAATTGAGGTGCTGGCTCCAGCTCAGCCAGCACTGCGTGTTTTGGGTGGTGATGGATATCTCAGGTGCCAGGGAAGAGCTGGAGCTGGTGCTGCCCCTCACCTGCTGCCACTGCTGGCTGTGTTTGCTCAAGTGACCAAACCCTCCCTTGTTTGTGGCAGAAGAGAGAAGCCTCAGCAGACCTGGAGCTCTCTGCAAAGGAGAAGGAACAAAGGGCTAAAGTGCAGATCAGGCATCTGCAGACCCACTTCCATCATGAGGGGTACAAGAGGAAATTCTACGATGCCGATATCTGGCGGCAAATGCAGGCTCAGGAGTGAGTACAGCTCTGCTTGGATGCCTGGAGCTTGGGAAGTTCCTCCATGCCAAAATCACAGATTTTTAGAATCCCACAGGCAGGGACACTTTCCACTGTCCCAGGTTGCTCCAAGTCCTGTCCAACCTGGCCTTGGACACTTCCAGGGTTGGGACAGCCACAGCTTCCCTGGGCACCCTGTGCCAGGGCCTCATCACTCTGAGTAAAGAATTTCTTCCTAACATCTGGTCTCAATCTCTCTTCTTTTAGTTTAAAACCATTCTCTCTTGTCCTACCACATCTGCCCATATAAAATGTTGCTCCCTCTTTTTTTATAAAGAGATCTGGGGACCACAATGTAGAGATGGGGAAGGGTAAGGACCCGCTATGGCAGATGGGACATGCTAAATGTCATTTGTTGTTCCATTTTTACAGAAAAGCAATAGATGATCTGAAGCAAGAACACAGACATGTGACATTAATGCTGAGCCAGATCTATTCCCCGGGTAATGTGATGCTGGAAAGCAGAAATCGTATGAAGGTCCAAAGGCTTTTGCAGATCAGAATGCAGAACGATGCTCTGATCAAAGAAAGAAAAGCCCTGCTAGCTGACCTGGCCAAGCAGGTGAGAGCATCCAGAGTGTTCCCTGCCTGAGCACAGCAGGGCAGAGTCACAGAGTGGGGCCTGTGGCTGAAACTCTTCAATATAAAACACATTTAATTCAGGCCTTGGAATATTCCTCCTGGCAAGTGACACATGACAATGACAAATGGATAGAACCAGGATCCCATTCAAGTCAGCAGCACTGACTGGAAAAGAGAGGTTGGACTCTCAACCTTGTCCCACCAGTCCCTGCACCCCCGTGTGATGGGCTCCTATAACTGTGGGCTCCTTAATGGCATAGTTGCTGTAGTTTAGGTCAACAGAGGGGATTTTCTTTGGCTCCATGTCCTGGTAAGAGTCCAGAGTGTAGGGGTGGAGATTATACTTCCTGGGTTTTTTTCCCTGTGTGTGTGCAGGTTGTAGAGCTGGAAAAAAAGATAGTGAAGCAAAGAGACACAACCTGGAGGGTGTTGGAAGCAAAGAGTCACAAACACCTGCAGAAGAAAATTGAATTACTGGAGATGCACCTAAGTCATGTAAGGAAATATTTTGGAGATTTTTTGAGAACACGTGTGGGGTCACACAGGGGCCTGGGACCTTTCTGGTCAGGACAAAGCACAGTGGTGCAAATGTATTGTTGACACAAGCTGCATAAAGCACCTGGTTGTTCCCTTGGCCTGATCATTCCCAGAATATCTCAAAGGCTCCTTCAGGCTTGGTGACCCAAATGCAGCACTTGTGCTGTGCCAAGAGGCCTGAAGGTCTGCACCTGCTTTGTGATCAAACTGGGCTGCCTGGAGCCACCTTGCCTTGCACAAAGCCAGCTCCAGGTCTCTGTTTGATCGACCTGGTCTTCTTCATTCCTTTCTTGGAGAGGAGGACAGTGCAGGGCCAGCTTCAAATCTCTTGGGCTGTATTTGACCCTGCCTTGGTCAAGGTCTTTAAGCAGCAACCTGAACCCCCCCAATCCCCCACCAGTTCCACACCTTTGGCTTTGCTCTCCCCAGGTCACTGTTCGTTACAACACCATCATGACCCGAAACAACAAGCTGAGAGAAGAGACTGTGAGCATGCAGATCCAGAAAGCCATTTATGACAACTCCTACTGGAAGCTGGAGAAAAGGCTGGTTCAGCAGAACAGATTGCTGAACGCTGCTATCGAGCAAGCCACGGAAGATTACGAGCAGTGGTACAGTGGCCTTATCAGCCCTCTGGGCAAAACTTGGGGCTGATGGGTGATGCCTGCAGTGAGTATTCAAACAGAGAGAGTGACTGAGGCTTCAGAGATTCAGAGAGAGGAGCCACCACTCTCATCTAGATCTGGGTGCTAAGGGTTGGGTGCCTGGTCAGCGTGGGGAGACTGGCACCTCCAGGGTGTTTTATTCCATCTATCCCAGATGTTTCTTTGGATGGGATGAACTGCCCCATGGAGGAATCTCTTTATTCTGAGTCTCACCCAAGCTGGGTATTATGCCTGAGTACAAAACTGTCAGCAAAGGCAAGGGATGATAATCCTGACTTGCCATTTCTCTCACACTGAGCAATTTGTTAATTGATGTTCAAGGTGCTAGAAAAAAACCCACCAAAAGCTGTGTTAGTGGCCATGAATTCCCTCTGGACTTACTCCACTCCGTCCAGATGAGAGCTGGGAATGGGCACAGCATCACAAAGGCTTTGCCAGCTCTGGCACTGCTGGGAGAGGCCAGGAATACAGAGCCTTACACACACACACACACACACACACACACACACACACACACACACACGGTGTGGGTGCTGCTGTCTGTGTGCAGGATGGAGGATCTGGGGCGGATCTCGGACATTCGGGGTATTCGCTACAGAGAAACCATCCAGTACAACATCAGGCTGCTGGAGAGGAAGTGTGCCCTTCACCAGGAGACCAGGCTGAAAAACTTCTTCCTCGCCAAATGTACAGATCTGTCTGAATTGAAGGAACAGGCCAGAAAGAGAGAAGGTATCAGAGGAGAATTTGTGTGGCTGGGACCACAAACCCCGAGTCTGCAGAGTTGATGGAGGGGCTGCTCGTGGTTTCTAGAATTGCACCCCAAAGGCAGGACACCCGCCCTGCCCACAACCTGCCCCACCCAACCTTCACCCTACAAGCAAAACGGCTGAACAGTGGTAACTGAGTGAGACTGAGTGTCTTGGGGTGCCCTTGGGACAGGGTGCTGCTCCTGCATGCAGCCATGGCTCCTTTTGTCACAGAACCACAGAATGGCTGGGTTGGAAAGGAGTCTTAAAACTCATCCAGTTCCACCCCCTCCATGGGCAGGGACACCTTTCAACATCCCAGGGTGCTCCAAGCCCCGTCCAACCTGGCCTTGGGATCCAGGGGCAGCCACAGCTTCTCTGGGCACACTGTGCCAGGGCCTCCTCACCCTCACAGGGAAGAATTTCTTCCTAACATATAATCTAATCTAATAATTCCATCCTCCTGGTAGGGGATCCCATGGTGTTTGCTCCATTCCCATGACATCCCTGCTTAGTTTCTTGGTGAAAGAGGCACCCTCTGCCCCTCCAGCACTGCTCCCTTCTGCCCCAGCACTGCACCAAACCCCACAGCACTGCAGGGAAGGCTCTGCAAAGCAACCACGGCTGTCTGTCTCTTTCTCAGCCTTTGAGGCAGATGAGAGGGCCAAAAGGAGCCAAAAGGAGAGCTATGAGGTGGCCTACAAGCGTCTGCTGGAGCTGTCGGATGGAGACATCGACAATTTCTTGGAGGACTTTCTTGAAAAGGACAGGAGATTCTTCATCCTCTTCAGCTATGCCATTAGGCTGAACGTCAAGAATGAGGGTCTCAGGCAGAGGATCCAGGAGATCCAGGTGTGTTCCTGGCTCTTTATGTCTCCCCTTTCCAGACAGTGATTTTGTGTCAGGGTGATTTTTCCTTTCCCAAGTGTCCGACATCACTGCCCACACCAGAGCCTGGCTCCAGCCACTCAGGTAGGATTAGGGGGCTGCAAAGGAGCAGCCAAAACTGGAATTCTGCTGTGTTCTCACAGCTAAACGTGTCTCAATGCTGCCACCGTGTACCCAGCAAAAATACTGCAGTGTCCTGGAGACAGAGCCAGGAACTTCCTCGAACAGCCTGGGGCTGCCTGGAGTGGGAATGGGGTTATCCATGCCCTGCCCTCCTGTCCTGGGGGTGTCCCTCCCAGGAACTCCACGTGCTTGTGTTCCCACAGGATGATATGATGTCCATCACAACGGAGAGGGAACAAGCAGAGACAACCCGGACTCAGGTCCTGCAGGAGCTGGAGGTACAGTGGCTGTGAATTCCCTCTGGAACGGCAGCATATCCCTGTCTGTCCCAGGGAATCCGGTGCTGCAAATGCTGCTTTGGCCAGTGGCAGGAGAGGCGTGGGCAGAAAAGGCCCCTGCAAAGGTTTTGGCAGCTCCCAGTGCATGGTGAGAGGGTGAATGTGGGGCTCCTGCCAGCCCTGGGCCAGCGTGGGCAGCTGGGGGATATTCAAGAACTGTCTGGACACAATCCAGTCCCCTGTGCTCTGAGATGACCCTGCTTGAGTAGAGGATGGACCAGAACACCCGTTGTGGTCCCTTCCAACTTGTCCCATCCTAGGATCCTGTGGTTCTGTCTCCAGACTGAAAGTGGGCAGCACTGGGGGGGTGGGATCAGCGAGGGGCTGGTGTGACACCTGGCAAAACCTTTGCTGATAGGCAAAAATAACAGAGACTGCCGAGGAAGCCAACAAGTATGAGAACAAATGCAAGGAGAGCAGCAAACTCCTGGGACAGATCCAATCTCGTGTGGAGACCCTCTTGAAGGACATGGACTGTGACACCTCAGCAATAGTGAAGCCTCTTGGGGAGAGCTTGGTGCCAATTTTTGGTAGGTCAGGGCTGCCCATCTTCCCATGCCACACCTCCTTTCCACCACCCTGTCACACTGTTTTAATTGAGATTCTGTTTTCCCCTGTCCCATCAGTCACGGGTTCCCCAAAGTGAATTTGCAGTGCCAAATTCCCAGCAAATTTGGGAGTTAATTTGAATGTGTAAACACCCCAGTGAACCCCCAAACCCTCATCTTGGCCCTGGGTGTTGAAGTGCAATGGAGGTTGGCCTGTCCTCCCAGGAAGCCAGCAAGAGGACAAGGGGAATTGCACTAGGGGAGGTTCTGGTTGGATTTTAGGAAAAATTTCTTCACTGAAAGCATTGTAACAGGATTCCCAGGGAAGTGGTAGCATCACCACCCTTGAAATGCTCCAAAAATAAAGTGAATGTGGCACTTTGTGGTATGCTTTAACAGGCAGGGGATATTCATTCAGTATGAGGTTGGATTTGGTGATTTTGGAGGTATTTTCCAGCGTGAATGTGACTCTATGATTCCATGACCCAGCCTTGGCCCCCTGACCCAGGGGAGTCAGGATCCCCTGCTCTGCAGGGATGCAGGGGTGGGTTTGGGCAGGATCCAGGTGCAGGGACACTGTGGGATGCTGCTCCTTCCCACCCAGGTCCCGTGGAGAACAAGGTGAAGGAGTTCCTGATGAAGGAATGCCTGCTGCGCTACACGTCTGTGGATCGCAGCCAGCGCTCCCAGGCCTTCATCAGCCCCTTCCAGGGAACCTCCAGCTTCCTCTGGGTCATGGACAGGGCCAAGCTCTGCCCACCCCCCCCAGACCTGGACACTGCTGACCCCAAAACCGGTGAGCAGGGAGCGGGGAGAGAGGGCAGGAGTCATTCCCCAGTCCCCCGTGGCTGCCTGGCCAAGCCCTGCTGCCACATGTCCTTCCCAGCCCGTCCCCTCCAGCCTGTCCTGCCCCACCGGGGGTATGAGGCCTCTGAAAGTGTATATTATGGGATGGCCGTTCTCTTGGGCAGCGGAGGAGCCGCTGGACCGGGCTCAGCTGTGTCAGCTCGTTATCCAGAGGCAGCAGGAGGAGCAGGCCAGGCCCCCCAGCGCGAGCAAGAGGAGGAGGAGGCTCGGATCAAAGAGCCCGCCACAGACAGGGACAAATTAAAGAAGCAGTTTCGTTTTCGAGCTTCTGCATCCTGCACATCGTTCCATTTTCCTTCTCTGGAAGGAGCCCAACAACTTTCACAAGCTTCAGGAGCTCACCAGGGGATATTTTGGCATGGCTTCACCTACTGCTGACAGCACCTGCAGCCAGGGTGGGACCAGCTGCCCTGCCACAGGGTGACATCCCTGTCACACAACCCAAACACAGCTGGAGATGGGGACCACGGTCCCAGTCCTGCACCGTGCCCAAGGGCAGGGCCTGGCAGGTGGGATGCAGGGTGTGAGTGTGCTCATGGGGTTGGCAGAAGCTGACAACTCTCTGCTGCCTAAAGTAAATCTGAGCTCAGTGCTGGCCCTAGGCTGTGGGACTGGGTGGGATGGGTACGGCACAGCCCAGCGTGGAACAGGCTGGTTTGGGGCTGGGAGTGAGAGAAGAAGCAAAGGGACTCGAGGACACGTGAGGGTGACGTGCAGCAGGTCTGGAATGCCAGGGGGCCAGCAGGGTCTGGAAGCATCTGAGGGCTCCCACAGGGCACAGACACACAAGCCCAAGCACTGCTCGCACCAGCAGCTGGATTTCCTCTTGCCAAAATGTCATTTAATGTGAATGCCATTCCCATGCCAAATTCCCAGGCACATGCCTCTCCAGGGGAAGAGCAAAAGGGAACCCCCGTGTGATCTAGGGAGAGGTGATCTTGCAGTGCCAGCCTCAGTCCTGAGCCTGGGCTAGTCCTTCTCTTCACCGTGAGTGATGACATGGACCAGGTTCTTGTAATCCAGGTTGCCAGACATGTCCGGAGGGAAGGCAGCGAACATCTGATCGATCTGCCGGGGAGGAGCCAGGGAGAAAAGGTGGCATGGGAGGGGTTTGGAACCAGGGCTGGGAGGAGGGATGGGGTCTGTTGGGATGGAGGGAGGCTGGCAGAGGGTGGGAAGGAGATCATACCTCTTCCTGGGAAAACCTCTCCCCCTGCGTCATCAGCATTTCTTTGATGCTGCAATCGAGAGAGCACGGTGAGCACTGGGGAGCTCCTTATGGGGACACCCCCATCAGTCCCTGCCCCAGCTATCCCTGCACTCACTAGGCAGATTTCAGGCCTTTCCCCTCTGGATCAAACACCTTGAATGCATTCAGGATTGTCTCCTCCGGGTCAGCACCTGCGGGTGACAAAGCCAAGGCCATTGGAGATGGTGAAGTAGGAAGCCAACTGCAGCCTCCTGCTTCTCCCAGCCTTGGGGACAAAATGGGGGGCAGAGTGGGGAGTGAGGTCCCTGCAGGAATGCTGACCTTGCAGCTGGAGGCTGGGGTGAAGCTGGTGGCATGCAGAGGAGCAGCCGTAGGGCCGTGGTGTGAGCACAGAGCAGGCGGTGTCGCCACCGCTCCGGCATCCGGCTTTTATCTAATCTTTGGAGCGTATTTATAGAGCTCCAGGCACAGCCCTTGGGGCCCTGCAGCCTCTCGGAGATCTGCAGGAGGGTGCATTCCTTGGGTTAAGTGTGTGATTGAGGGTGCAGCCAGATGGGATGATGGGTCAAAGTCTGGCTGTAGCCAGGGGGCCACTGTTGGCACAGGAGGTGCCAGCAGGCTCAGAGGTGCTGCAAGAACTGTCGCCTCTTCCTATGGGACAGCAGCAGCACAGCCATTTGGATTTTTCAATGAAACTGAGGCACGGAGACCATCTCATAACCCCCAACAGTTTGGGGAGACATAGGGTAAGATCTGGGATCTAGGGATGGTTGGAACTGCAAATCAGCAGGAGTTTTGGGGCATAGGAGAGCCACTGACCACCACTGACCACTCCCAGCTCCCCAGGTGCCCCCTCACCCTTGAGCTTCTCCCCAAACATGGTGAGGAACACGGTGAAGTTGATGGGGCCGGGTGCCTCCTTTATCATCTCATCAATCTCCTCGTTCTTCACATTCAGGCGCCCTGGGGAGAGCAGCTGTGAGTCAGTCACGGATCCCTGTCCTGCTCTGTGTGTTGGGGGCTACAAATGCACACCACAGAACCCTTCCCTGGGGTTTTTTTCCCCACTGGAGGGAAATAGCACATCCCTGGGGAGCCACCTCTGACAAGGAATGGAGGTAGCAGGAGTGAGGTGAGAGAATCTCCAGCTCCAGCTCTGGCTTCTCAGGCTCCAGCATCACAGAAAATAAGGATGCAAAGGATTGAGCTGTGCTGCTTCCTTCCCTCACTGCCCCGTGGATCAGACTCTTTTAGCCCTCCTTGGAAGGTGTTTTGGGTCAAGACCAGCACTGGGGTTCTCCCTGCCCCCCAGCACCCAAACAAACGGGGTTGAATGCCTACATCCTTTTTCCTGAGGCTGGGCTGTCCTTGGAACTCCATTCATGCTGATTCATGCTGACCTCTGATGGCAGAGCCAAGCTCGCAGTGTCACAGCCTCCCACAAATCCCCTAAATCCCCTTAATGCCCACACGGCCCGGGATGCCGTGGGATGGGCACAGCCAGGTGCTTCTAGGCACGGAAAAGGCAGGGAATGCTTGGCTGTGTAATCCAGGAGCTGGCTCCAGTGCCAACGGGATAAACCAGCACTGCTGTGGGAGCTGCTCTGGGTCACCCAGGAGGGATCTCCCAGCCTGACAGGCTCGGGTTTGGATCAGGAGGTTTTTGGCAAAACGGGAGATCCAGTGAATGGCAGGGGCTCCGTTAAACGCCCCACCCCACCTTGTTTCCCAGCTAACAAATTCTGATGCTGGCAAAGCTGCTGGGGAGGGGAGGCTGCTAAAGCTGGGCTCACCGAGGGCAGCAAAGGTGTCTCTCAGATCTGCCTTGTCGATGAAGCCATCCCGGTTCTGATCCATGATGGTGAACGCCTGGAAGCACAGGAGCAGGGCAGGGAGCACAGGGAAAGGGAGAACTGTCAGCCTTTGCCAAGGCTTTAGTGCCTTTCTCCTTCTGCCTTCAGCTTGGATGGGATAAGGGCATTTTGAACCCTCTCAAGGGTTCCAGGGGCCTCACTCACCCCAATCCCACACAGTCCTGCACCCTGTGGTGATAACAACCCAAACCCCAATGCTGTACAAACCCTTTCCTTGGCCCAAGCCCTCTCACCCCAGTGTGGCATCAGGCAGAGAGGCCAGCCTGAGCCATCAGCTCCTCCATCTGGGGACAGTTATCCCTGGAGCTGGGACCTGCACAGGACCATGTGCCTGCCATGCAGGGGGTTAGAGCTGCTGGCAGGGCAGCTGGGAGGGAGCTGGGAGATGAGCTCCAGCTCCCTGGGATGCTGCTGGATCCTCTGTGGGATGCAGGCTCCTCTAAAGCTTGGAGGCGATGCCAGATTTAACGGTGTCACTGAGTTGTTATTCTCCCTTTTAAAATAAAACGACCCAAAACCAGGCCTGCTGCCTCCTGGTGTGAGCCAGCTGTCACTTGAGAGCACCAAGGGAAGAGCTGAAGGTCACATCCCATCAAGGACCCTCCTTGCCACCAAACCCACCTACCTCTTTGAATTCCTGGATCTGGGCCTGCTCGAACATGGAGAAGACATTGGAATTAGCACCCTCAATCCTCTTCTTGGCTTTCTTGGGTGCCTGCAGGAGTCCAAGTATGTACCATTAGCTCACTGGCTTTTTATGGGGTGGAATAAAAGCATGGAAGTGCCCTGTTCTTACTTGTGACTCCTTCGTGGGAGCTCTGAGCTGGGGCTCTGTTCCCTGGAGGCTTGCTAGTTTCTCCCTTCAGCTCTGGAATACTGAGGGGCATTAAAATTCCCACTTAAATTTCAGCTCCCAGTGAATTTAGCCAAACAGGTCCAAGGAAAGATGAGGAGTGAATTCCCTTCTCCCACTGGCAGGTAAAAGGGTCAGGACTGGGGTGAGTTATCCCCGTTGGAACCCTGGCTTTGGGAGCACTGCTGAGGTTGCACACCTCAGGTTGTGGTCGGTCAGTGCTTCTTTATCCCAGCTGTGCTGATATTAAAATGTGGCTTAATTAAAAATCTGCCTCCTCCTGCACACTGAGGCTTGAAACAACCAGAAATGGGTCAATGTGTGTTTTAAAGAGGACTGAAGAGCCCCTCACTGTCCCACCCAGCCCATTATCCCTCATTCCAGCCTGCTCCTGCAGTTGTTTCCTCTCGTGGGGGTCTGTCAGGAGGAGGATTTTGGGGGCACAAAACAGCCCTTCCTCTCACTGCATAAAGGAAGGTAAAAGAGAAAAGTGGCATTTAGACCCTAAAACCATCTCCCCTCATTTGAAAGCTCTGCCAGCGTGGGAGACACTTCTGTGTTCCCTGCTGATCCAGCCAGATGCTCCCCAAATTTCACACCCCCTTTCCAAGGCAGACAAGACCTTTGGCCCTCAACTCCTTGTTGCCTCCTTTGCTCCCTGCTCTTAAAGCTATTCCGGTGAAAAATCGAATGGATTTTGTCTCTTGCTGCTGGAGCTTTGTGCTCTCAGTACTCACCATGGCTTTGCTCGGCCGCCGATGTCACTGCGAGGGGTGTCCCAGAGGCACTCCCTCCCTCCCCCCGGCTGGAACAATAAATACACCCCCCTCGGGGTTAAAAATAGCCCCATGCCCACTTTTGGCTGTAATAGGTAATTTGGCCGCCCCCAACCCTGTTGTCTCTGCCTTTCTCTGTCCCTCTCTCTCTCTAATCTGGAATAGCAGCTTGTTGTTGTCACCGGCTGACGTGACATGTGAGCCCGGGAGGGTTTCAAGGTTAACGAAGTGCCGGGTGGCCCCCAGCTCCCACACCGGGGATGCTGACCCGGGACTGCACGGGAACAATCCCACCTGCCTTTGTCACTCGGGCTGGCGCCGGCCTTGTCCCCTCCGCTGGGACACGCAGGGAGGGGTTGGCCCCAGGGGACCCCCCGCTCGAATCCCTCAAATTTTGGGACATGGATGTTTTTCCTGGGTGCTTCCAGGCGTCTTTGGGAGCCTTAGCAGCGTTGGCATGGCAAAGCTGGGAGCTGCCCGGCTGCGGGAGGCAGAGGAGCCCCCCTGCCTTTGGGTCGCCTCCTTTGGGAT